TACTAATCCCGTTCACCTACCATGATTCAGGCAAGACGTAAAGTGGCTGTCTGCACAGATCACAGGAACGAGGTCCCAAAACAGTCACGCCGGCTGGCACTTTACCCTTGTGAATGGTCCCACATTGTTATCCCTCGTGCTAGGTCTGCCCCACATTGGGCGCCACTTGATCCGTCCCGCGGATCGGTCTGTGGGCCTCGCCTGGAGAAGGGATGGGGATGAAGGGCTGGGCAAGAAAAAAGAGAGACAGAGACTTGGCAGGATTCCATTCAAGTCTCGTTTATTCTTAAAATGGCTACAACTTATATAGGGTGGAGGCAAGCCAATAGGGCAGGAAGAGGGCACGGAGTGTTATCTGATAGGTCATCATCACATCCGGATATATGACGTAAGCAGGAGAGGATTATGGGAGATGTAGACTGAAGCAGGAAGTTGCTCACGTCATGCACACTGTAGGCAAGGGGAGGATCATGGGAAATGTAGGCTGACACACAAAATGCCCTCAGGTGGGAGGGGCAGGGCAGCAGCAGCTATTCTGAGCCACTCCCTACATAGAGATAATATAATAAAGTGGTTGCTTTATGATGTCATTTCCTAAGTTTTGACAATTTTCTTGATCTTTATTTTTCTCTAAAATATATGTAAAGATATATGCTACACAAATATATTTGTAATGCTATTACTGAAATCTATACAATTTTAAGGAAAACACTTAAAGTAATATCAAAGTCTTTGAAATTGATAGGATTTTTGGCACAGTAAAGGGAAAATATAAAGTAAAAATGGCCTTTATTTTAAGAACATGGAGAGAAACTCCATGACCGCTGGGGCCTGGCTTTCTCTGCTAGAAATGTGGTGTCGGGGGCATACATATAGTTTCCAGCTGGGGTGGTGCTTAAGGTAGCATTGCTGATGCGAGAGCAGCTGATTGGGACTCTTTTCGCACCACAGGTAAGTTGTCCTAAGGGAGGGGAATGTGACCTCAAGGTAAACATCCCTTGGTCCTGCCTCTCACTGCTGTAATACTGTATCTAAGGCAAAATCCTTTCAAAAATGTTCTATTTCATTTATATTTCTGGGTGTTTGAATTCTGTATTGAGTAATTGATTTGCCTAGAGGATGCATCCATAGATTGGAATACAATTTGTGTCACTTATCGTGGCTACATGTTGAGAAACCAGTGTGAAGTGACCAGGCCATCCCATGTCACAGGGTATAATATACTTGCACATGCCTAGGTGGTATAGTCCACGACACATATGGACTGTGTAGTACATGCCATTGTGTGTGCAGCTGTCCTTGACTGTGACTCTGTTTAGTCCTCAGTAACCGACCTGTTTCAAGAATGACTTCAGCTGATAGTGAAAATTAAAAACGAGGCTCCTCCCAAGCTGTCAGAGATCCCTGTGCCTTTGTGTAGACTTGAGGCTTTTGTGACTGAGGCAGGTTGAAGAATGAGCAGTGGTCAGATCTAGCAACAACACAATACTAATTGTCATGGTTGAGCCTGATGTGAGAGAGTTAGAAAGGTCTGCTGACTCCAGACTTCTGTCACCCACACAGGTTTGCAAATCACAGTGGCAGAGGCTTTTTTGGGCTTGCCTAGATGTCTGCAGCTTGGCAGGTTGGGTTTACGTCACTGAGCCCCGGTCTGGTCACCTGGGAGGAGGTTTGAATGCATTTCCAGGAGGAAGTTACCTAACTACCTAGAGTAAATCATTAAGATTCAGCTTAAGTAGCACTTCACTGGTGAGTTACAGGTCACTGTAGAAAACAGCTCCTCAAAGCTCAGAGGCACAACATAGGTTTGTGTTTGTAGGGGAAGAAAGGAGTCTGCTGCAGGAGGCAGAGGGCAAGTGCTATACAAGGATGAGATGTGTTCCTGAGCCTTCAGCAGGAACCAGGACCAAGTGGAGGGTGCCACATTTAGTGGCACCTGTGGGGCACTCTGCTGCTCACTTCCTGTCCCACAATTTCCATAGCAGATGTCCTTATTAGTAGAACCCAACTGTAAATAGCTACTTAAACTGGTAATGTTTAAAGGCAAACCAAATTTATAATCTGTTTCAATTAAAGCTTTTAATTAGTTTTCATAACTGGAGCTGTAGCCAATTTCCCAGCCTCTGCTATATGCTGACTACAGAAAGCCATGATTTGGGAAAGACATTGGAATTCACATGGATGGTAGACCCCACAGAGGCCTCCTTTCTATATTGGGAGAAAAAAGTTCTGAGCATAAAATGGAAAAGAACAGCTCCCTGCAATTATTTTTATCTTATCTTTACATCTGAGAAACATGTACTAACCCTATTCTATCCTCATAACAGGCATTTTCCTCCCACAAAAAATAACATTGGATTTAATCTTATCAGCATCAGTGCCAAAGAGTCCTCTCTGAGTTACACTTTGAGGTCAAAGAGATAGGGTGGTGCCAAAAATGTGTGTGTGTGTGTGTGTGTGTGTGTGTGTGCATGCACGAGCACACATGCACACATATGCATTTTGTCTTACAAATGTAGCGTTCCATCCAGTGCTGCATTCTCTCAGACCTCAAAAATCTCTCTTCAGTGGAGTCCTCCCTGGTTCCTCTGTGGATTTTACAACATTTAGCTGTAGAAGGTGTTACACACCCAAATCCACACAGCAGCAAAACATAATTTTTCACACATCTGAAATGACAATACTAAATGTGTCCATAAAGTTCAGCCTGTGTAGTCAAGGGAATGACTTCGTGGCTCACAACCCTAGCCCTTGACACCAAGCTACCTGTCACATTCAGTTCCTTTGATCACATAGGTATACCCCACACATGTTACACACCAGAAAATGCATGTGCATACAGCATGTTGTTGACACAGTACCAAACTTTCAAATAAAATCAGCCACCACAAAGCTGTGAAATGGGATTGCAGACCATCTTGCAGTCATCATGATGGCTGTAACAGAGACATCGATTATTTGTTGTACCTGGCACACCGTCTCTGTTCTCTGTTAGAGATAATTGTAAAATAACCTTGTCTTTCACTAGTAGCTTTCAGGGGAGAAGTACTTAAAAATGAAATGTAGGTAGTATTTGACTTTCCCCTGTATGCCAAGTCAGAGAACATAGAAAGTGCTGGTCAAAAGTACCAGGAGCTGCTCTCGAGGGTGTGGACTCTGTAGAGCACGTGGAAAGACCCCTTAGTACAGGGAACAAGCAAGTAGCATCCCCTGCTAGAGCACCCAGTGTGTTAGCAGCAGCACCATTTGGAAATTTCTAAAAATAAAAACCTTATGCTTCTAATATTTGATGACATTCTGTGTGGATTGCCACGTGAGGATCACTGGAGGGATAATAGAGTTAACTTTGCATACTGTCAAGCTTTCATTCTAAAATTAGCAAAAGATAATGGATCTGGATTTAGGCTGTATTCAAGACAGGCTTAAAAGGCAATAGTGGGGGAGAAATTAGAGAATTTGCAACTTATTCATAACATGTATCATCTCTAGAGAAGGGAACACTACAACAGAAGACAGAAAGAAGGTAAGAAAGTGTTTTAGTGGTGCTTGACTGACAGAAGCATTCAGCATGCAAATAGATGGTGTATGCTGGTATCTTGGCCTAGCTAGCTGCTAATTTCTGAACCAATCTGTTCATGCATCTAAGTCATTCATTGCCTACTTCAAAAAGACTGAAACTTTTAATCCTGTTTTTTCTCATTTTTTCCCTCCCACCCAACTCCCCTTTCCTTTTGAACAATTATTTCCTATTTCACAATATTTATTATACCTTTTGGTTCTTATCTACACTTTCAGTTTCTCACACTAGAGAAACAATGTGATGTTTACACATAAAATGGAAGCAAAGCTTTGTGAATAAGGAGGGGAATAAGTGTTGAAGAGATAGAAGGGGAATAGGAAAAAAAGAAAAACTAATGTACAAGTACAATCATTACAATCAGCCCTGTGTTTTTTGTTTTGTTTTGTTTGGTGTCAGGAATTGAACTCTGACCTCATGCTTGGTAGGCAGGCATTTGTGCCAATGAGCTATATCCCCTGCCCATTCATCCCTATGATGAATGTGGTCATTATGCATATCTAAATTGTATCAATAAACTTAATTGTTAAATAAAAAGATTGAAACTATTAAGAAGAATTACAATTTGCTTTCCATAGTAATGGTGAAAGATTTTGACTAGAGAGAAGCAAAAACTCCACAGCTTGGTGTTAGAAATGTAGATCTCATAGTGGGCCATTCACTCTCCAAAGGCAGGAAAGGCAAGGTCCTGAGAAAGCAGAAGTGCTGAGCAGTGTCCAGGGCCCACCAGAAACTCTAGATCATGCATGTGCATTGATCCAGAGGGTTGCTCATGAGAAGAGGAGCAGGTTTAGAGCTGTTGCATAGGCTTTGTCAAGTGAGACAGGGAGGTGACAGCTTTCACTAGCATGCTCAGGAACGACCTCTCTGAGCAGAGTTAACTCCAGCTGAGAAGAAGATCCCAGGAGAGAAACAGCCCTGCTGAGATGCAGGGTGAGAGCATTCCTGAGACAAGAAAAGGAAAAAGATGCTATACTTCCACCTGGAGCCTTTCTCCTGTCTCTGCAATAGTTGGTGGTTATGCGCATGCAGGAAATGCTTAAGGGCCTGAGAAAAGCTTTGGGACAATGAGGATTGTGATGAAAATGTCCAAGTTAGTTCAGTTCCCCTATCCTGGGGAACTGATTGTTTTGACCACCTTTCTTTTTTTTTAACATAATGAGAAAGAACATAATTTGGGTGCACTGTCTTGTCAATTTTCATGTTAATACAGTATGAATAAAAGATTTTTGTATTTTGTTCTAGAGTTGTAATGTGTTTTTAGAATGCATCTAAGTCAAATGCTTAGCTTGGAAGTATTTTTACATTCTAAAATAGTATTTATGATTATGACTGAATCAAACTGTTGACTGCACTGGACGAGAGCATAAAAACACATTGAGAAATCAATTTTAAAATCTTGATCTCCCCCACTTCTTTATAGGTCTTATTCCTCTAGACGCAAGATGGCTGAACTCAATACTCATGTGAATGTCAAGGAAAAGGTAAGATCAAGTTATAAATTGACTCACTGAAACTCTAAGCTAGGTAACATAATTGCTAGCTGGTAAAATCACAGTTACCGTGAAAAAAGAAAATGCCAGTTATGAGGGATGCCGGCAGGTTTGCCGCACCAGTGAACTGTTTAGCAGAATCACAGAATGCTCGTACCCAGCACCTGTTAAGCACTTGCATTCATTTTTCTACTTGCCACCATCCTCACAGAGAAGTTAAGTACTTTGGCTTAGGGCATGGAGTAAGCCGCACACCTGGGAGCTGAGCCCAGGCAGTGCCAGTCTGAGGCTCATGTTCTCTTGCACCATGAGAGCTTGTACCTGAGAGCTGGGTTGTTTCATCACCTCTCCAGGAACAGCCTCCTATGGAGATCCTGTGGACTGCCCAGTGGTCCACCTGTCCTTCAGCAGGAGAGTCCACAGCACCTGAAAGTCCTTTGCTGGAGACTGGTCACCCCTCAGAGTCCTTCCCAGTCTGCATATGTTCCTGCACTGATTGCCAGCATCCTTGTCTTGCCAGGTGCTACCTACTGGGTACTGTTGGCTCTTAATGCAACCCATTCATCTAGCTCGTGGAAACAGGGTGCTCCAAAACTGATTTTCCCATAGTCATGGGGCTGGGTATGAGAGCTGAGTGGAAATTCAGGCCAGCCCATGCTCATGCTGATACTGAGGAAAATATAACTCCCAACTTACGGATGTCAGATGTGCCAAGTTCATGTCCCGTGAAATCAAAGAATGAATTCCAGAGGACAAAAAGGTTAAGAATGGGAAAGATGTATTGTAAGACTTCTCCTGAGAGATAGGAGGGGTCCCAGAAGTGAGTGGTCACTGAGGGCCCTTTTCAGGGTATTTTATACAGCAAAGTGACCACGTGGGTACAACATAGGTCAAACTGTAACCAGCCCATAGGATCACAAGTGTAGCTGCTGAGCTAATATCAACCCAGTAGGGCAGCAGGTCATGCAGCAAGAGTACATGGAAGAACAAAGGTGTTTTGGGGAAGGGATGCTCCGGGCATGCACCTGGACAATGGGATGCCACCTGGGCAGTGGACACCTGTCTGGACTTCCTGGTACAGGTGGTGCTAGTTAAAGTACAAGCCCAAGTCACTGCTTACACCTCAGGGATGTGTGTGAGCCTGGCCACCACATCTCCATCTCCAGGCCTGGTCTTCTTCAGATGCACCTCCAGCCACAGTCCTGATGGCTTCATTTTTCTCTGACTTCCTTGTCGGCCCAGTGCCTCTCTGACCGTGCATTACTGTCTGTCTGACTTAGCTACCTATGATAATGCCCCTGTCCTCAGGCCAACCCTCTCCATGCGACCTCCCTGTAAGGAGCATCTCTGTGCATCCCCATCGTGCCAGAGACAGCGTGAAGGATGAGAGGAGGAACAGCCACGGATCCCTTACTATTTTTTGTCTCACTTAGAAACTGCACCCAGCCACCATTCTAGATGCTGGGGAAGGTGCTGAACAGGGAGCAGGGGGTTCCTGCTCCCACAAAGCTCACCAGTGGGGGAGGGAGGCAGGTGCATCATCTTACAGTGATAATGACTATGTGGAAGACACACTGGACGACCTGACAGGAGGAGGCAGCTGCTTTCTGTGAGGTGGTGGGGAAGTCCTCCTTGAGGAGGTTTATTTTCAACCTGAGATAACAGCAATCAGACCAAGATCCAGGCAGAGAAGTCCAGATAGAGACAAGAGCAAAAGGAAGTGCTAAGATAGATGAGGTGGAATGTGCTTGGACATCAAGGGCTGGCACAGCAGAGCGTGGGGCAGAGGGACGGTGACAGGAGCCACAGCACCCGCGGACTAGGGACCATGCAGGGCATCCACGAATCCATGAGCTCAGGTGGGAGTGAAAGCATTTTATCTTATAAAAATGGATTTGTATCACCACTAACATTTCCTTCAGTCATGGATCTAGGCAAAGGGAAAAACAAGCCCACAGTAGCAGCAGCGAGGCCTGTGACATTCACAGCTAAGATTATAGATATTTCTATATCAAATCACATTTATTACAGATACCCTGAGATGTTATTTGTTCATCACTACTTCAAAATTACTGTAGTTCTAGGACCTGCCACACATTGTTTGCACTAATAGAGAAGCACATATTACTGTGGAATACATTTGTTTATATTAATATTTGAGCTATATTTCAATATCAGTGGTTTCACTTATTATCACATGCATTTTATGTCATGAATTTTAATATACCTTCCCAAGAAATATCCCACAGGCATCAGCAGACTTCCAAGGGTCTATGTACCAGTAACATTAAAACCCATGCTAGAACCATAGAGGTCCATTCCAAGGGCCAAAGCAAGCTGTTGGGAAGTTGCACACAAGGCATGACATGGTCTAACATGGTATGAACAGCTCCCCTTAGCCCCAGCAGTGCCATGTGCTTCGTAAGTCTTCTCATTGAGTAGCTTTCTGCCTGATGAGGATACTGAGGGTCGAGATCAGACTGGACTTGGTTAAGGTCAGACTGGGGAAATTCATAGGAGCTTGGATCCAGACTCAGCCTGCCTGGTTCCCAAGTCTGTTCTAGATCCCTGCATCTTAGGAATTCCCCCAAAATGCCCCCAGGCACAGAGTGGACTTGTCACTCCTTGTCTCTGGGCCCATGGTCAATACCAGTGTACGCCTACACAATAGTTTCTTTTGAAGACTTATGTGTTGTCTTAAAAACTGATGCAGGTTTTTTCCTACTGTAGTTCATAATGTATTCATTTATTATTTTAATGTAAAACTATTTTTGCTTATTGACAACTGAGTAAACTACAGCACAAAGGTGTGCCTCCTTGACAGCATGACTTCAGTGATCTCACCATATGTGCACGTGAGAATTTGTGTTCCTCAGCCTGAGAAGCTGGTGGGGCAGCACAGCGCAGACCAAAGGTGGGCCCCTGTCCAACTGTGTTGATGGGTAGGATTAAATGGCCCCTCAAATTAGAATATGGGAAGAAGCACTTTAAAGAATCAGATTCAGGCAACCCACTTTCCCAGTCCCCTCCTGTCTCTCTCAGGAACTGTCTCTCAATAGAATTTCCTACTCTTAAAAAAAAGAATTGGACTCCCAACAATCAATGCAAAGCTAGCTGAGCAGTTAGCATCTCAGCATCTCACTCCACAACAGGACATCCAGCCTACAGGGAAACAGGCCGAAACACCAACCCCAGACCTCACAGGTTCCACATGCAGCTTCCAGGCTAGCTTCAATGTCTGCCGCAGGGGGAACACTCTCAAGTGCCCAAACAAGAGTCACAGGAGCTATTTTGCCATTGCACTTCAGTAAACATGCGACAGTTATGCTGTATATACTGTAAATGCTGTCAGTCTGCATGTCAGTGAAAGAACTCCTCTGACTCACTAGCAAATTCCATCTCCTCATGTCAGATGGTTAGTAGATTTCCTAAATCAGTAAATTAAACCATAATAAACTACCAAAAATTCTGCTCATTCATAGTTTTACACTGTCTTAATTTTAGTACATGTGCTTCCTCTAGTTATTAGCTTTTATGGCCTTTTTATGATTAGTTTGTTCTCAGTCTGTCACACAAAACAGTGGCATTTCAGTTCTGAAAATTAATAATAACAACTGTTATGTCTTAAATTACAAGCTTTTGGAGATTAGAGAACAGATCTATATAGTGTTTTGACAAAATATCTAAAGCACTGTGAGAAATTAAAGAATAAATATCTTACAGTGAGATAAGTTTATTTATCTCTAGTGGATCCATAATTGGATGGTTCGAATGGGAGTGGGTGCTTTGGCAAGGAAATAATTTTTGTTCTCATGCAGCTTTTAGTTCGAAGAAAGAGCTAATAGTTTTTCATATTCAAGGCACTCTTGGTGATAGTTTTACTGATGATATATTTAGTTGTTGGGTTGTAACTGTAAGGAATTAAACTGGAAATGTGGTTAGAGTCAGAGTTTTCATGCATCTTCTACAGGCTTCAACTCTGTTCCCTTTACCTTTTCTGCTGGTGCATCCTCTCCACAGACTGCCTTCAGTGCCACCACCCTGACCTCAAATGTGTCTGTTTGCGCGCCACTGCAAACGCAGTTCCACTGTGTGGGATGTCCTCCTCAGGCCCACTGCTCACGCATCATCCCCTGAATGGCTTGTTCAGACATGCACTATTTCCTCCTCCCTTGCCAGGACTGCTTGCCTGCTTGACTGCTTTGCTCCCCATCGTATACTTCACTGGGGTTCTCCGCCTTGCCCCTTACTGCTGTTACTCCACAAAGTGGGACTCTGTCTCCCTGCATGAGCCTGTGTGTTCCTCATGCGCAGGCACAGGGTCTTAACCACTGCTTGGATTTGACATGTAGTTGACCCCGCAGTCAGAGTTAGTAAACAGATGAATGAGCATGCCTGCTTGAATAGTAAAATTTTTTAGAGACTACATTTCCCATTCATGATACTTTGAAGAATCTCAAGCCTTCTTCAAAAATGAAATGTAGGTTAATGGAAATGTCATCTCATTTGAATACTCTTTGCTTTTAAAGAGTATTTTAGATTGCTGAAAACAGAAGCTTAGGTTGCTTAGGTTCCATTGTTTTGTAGAAAAGCAGAATATTTATGAGATGATTAACCATATAAGTAGTCTCATATTGGAGAGCTGGCCAAGATCCCTATCTGCCTGTATAAGGGGTACAGCAAAACGATGAAATAAGAAACAGAAACAAATTTAGTAATGCATAATGAGGGCCTAAGAGGTCAATGCCTCAGGATGAGCAAAGATCCAGGTACTTCAAATCAGCTATGTATTTATTAAGTGTGTACAATGCAATGGTGTATATCATAATAGGAGGGACTAGTGAAAGATTCAGAGGTCAGTGATTTAGCAAGCAGTGGATAATGCTAGGATGTCTCAAGAGGATGGAGATGATCTTATGCTAAGAAGGATCCTGCTCTGGAGTCTTTTTTTTTTTTTTTTTTTCATTTTAGTATTTTAGTTTAGTCTTAGT